AGCCCTAACCTGCTGCACAACGACTCCTCACACTGAACACAATCAATACCAATCCTCATTACATTCTTAAGGTCAAACTCATAAGACATGAGGCCCAATAATGGCCCAAGCCAAAACTAGGCCCACTAATGGCTCAAACAATAATCTATCTTCCTAAAGGGTAAAAGACCATTTTACCATTCCCATAACTGGCCCAACATCTCATAGTCCAATCCCCAAAAGTCTTAAGGCCCAAAAGCGCAAAATGAACATCCTGGGGAGTACGCCCCACGTACTCACCCCGAAGCACAATGTACAAGTTGCCGATGCATGAACCACGTATTACGTTGAGCGTACTCCTACGTATGCCCAACGTACTCATCAGAGACCCAAAATCCATAATCAGCTCTTATTGGGTTAAGTCTAGAACGTCCAAACATAGATCTGACCCTAAAGAGATGTCTTAAGTCATAAAGTTCCTGACTTTATGACTTTGCATGGTTTAATGAGGTCCAAATCATAATCTACGCTTCCTAATCTTCATAAAAGGCCACTAATACTTGCATGAAGGAGTTAAACCCCACAAGATGACATTTTTATACACCCACAACCTCATAAATGTTAAGATCCAACATTTTAAGCTCTTGGAGTAGCTCATACTCACAAGGATGACTCTAAGGACCAAAAGGAACTCAAAACATACCCTAGACTAGATCTAGCACATATAGTCATCAATTTAGAAAATTTATACCTCCTGGAAGTTGATGAAGATGATTAGAGCTTAAATCCACAGGCTCCAAGCCAAGCAATGCTTCCAACAAGATCTCCTTCTTCTCCAAAGAACACCAAAATCACACCAAAAACCTCAAGAATGCTAAAATGAAGGCTAGGGTTTCGAATCTAGGGTTTATAGAGATGGAGGATGAGGATAAGAAGGTTTGGAGTTGAGTTAAAGTCATTAAATAGAGTCCAAGACCCTAAATTAGGGTTTGCATCTGGCTGGAGTACGCTCAACGTACTCCTGGTACGCCCAACGTACTCCAGTGGGCACCTGTGATCAGCCTACCTAGTACGCCCAGCGTACTAGGCTTAGCCTTAAAGCCACCAAACTTCCGATTCTGACGGTCCTTATATCAATGGAAAGGTAATGAGAAGCTCTACATTATTATCAACTCACTCTTGCCTTAAAATTTTCCGAACTTAAATTGAAAATCCATAAAGGCCCGAACTGTCACTTTACCGGTATACCCTTAGGCTTAAAACACAAACCAAACTCTCGGATCAACTAATCTACATTATCCCCACCCAAAGGGGGTCTAAACCTTTCCTTCCCCAAGGCCCCAAGCATTATGATGATTGGTCCTCGGGTCACGACCCTAAATTAGGAAATGACGGTGTTACACATGTGTAACGCTTTCGAAAGATATCCTAAAAATGCCACTTTTCAAAAACCACATAGACCATTTGTGAAATTTAGTCAATAATTAATTAGGTTTAACACAACAAAAATAAGAATAAAAATCACATATAATATATATTTAAATGTATTATATATATATATATATATATATATATATATATATATATATATATATATATATATATATATATATATATATATATATAGACTTAGGTTATTTTGTTTTTACTAACTATTGTGTGCTAGAATGCACAGATCTGGACCAACGGATGAAATTAATCAATGTACATGATTTGAGAGTGTATGATATTACAATGGGATAACATGTATCATATAATCACATAAATTTTAGCAAAAGGGTATTTTGGACAATTAACTACAATTATATAAGGGAATTTTCGGATTTTTAGGGATAACTATTTCTCCTAATTTTAAAAATCTGAATTTTTTAAATTAATTCAATTTTAATTCTAACGTAATTTATAAACATATACAATGAAAACAACCAAAGCTAAAGAAAATCGATGTGGAGTGATTGTTTTTTTTTACCTTTGACTTTGGAGACAAACTTTGTAGGTTCATATTTTCATCGAAGACATCCTATATCTTCAGATTTATCAGCTTCTTGAACTCCCTTTTTCCTAAAACTTATGTTTTTTTAATACATCAAGCCAATTTTGTTTCATTTATCTGGTTCAAGTATCCATCTTGTGTTCTTTTTTCCTGTTGATAAGACCAAAGCCAAAATTCACCATTACCAAATTACATATCAAAATTTTGCTAAAAAGAGTATAAGAATATGATTACCTGTGATTAGAAGTATATAGGAAGTCCGTATGATGTTTTGCAACTAAAAGATATATAAGAATATGTTTACCTGTACAGAATAATGGCAATTCAAAAATAGGAAGTAATTACCGTGTGTTTAGCATTCAAATCAGATTTCATAAGCAAATTAAATCATCATGTTTATGCAATAACTAATCATAAGCAAAGTCAAAATAAAGAAAATAAACGCCTCATTAGACCAACATAAGACTAGATTAACAAAACTACATTGGCTAATTTTCAAATTGGTATAAATACTTATCAGTAGACATCATGTTTATGGAATAACTAATGATAAGCAAAGTCAAAATAGAGAAATATAAAGATCTCATTAGGCTAACACCAGACCAGATTAACAAAACTACATATTCTAATTTCCAAATGGGTATAAATACTTATCAATGGACATCATGTATAAATGAATGGATGAAATATTTGATTCAAGCATTTTAACAAACAGTTGACGGGCAATAATCAAATGCCTTCTGAATTTTAGAAATTACAGTAAAAAGAATGGGTCTTGCATTGGGAGTCTTTGGAGTTGTTCTAAACACTAAAAAAATGAAAATAACTGATTAAGGAACTGTCTAAATCTGCTTAAGATCAAAAGCTAACACCAGCACCATCTTGCTGGAACAGTCCGTGTCACCGGCCTCCATGGTGGTGTCGACTGTTTTGGTGGTTTTTCAAGTGAATTTTGATCAGATAACGAAAAGAACTACCTGAGGTCGATGGAGAAGCAAGGAAAAAGTTACTGGGAGTTGTTTGAGAGTTAGATAAATTAAAGGCAGGGAGGAGAACTGGTGAGGACCGCTGCTCCTTCTTCTTCGGTGAACTGTGCCGACAGGGCCTGCTTAGGATTGGAGGTTGCTTCAACTGGCCATGACGCTGATTGGGTCAGTTTGTCATCAAGAATAGAAGGAAGAAGAAAGGTTAGGTTGGAGATGGCAACAACTTCGGTTGATGTTGGGCTCTTTTCTGGTGATCAGGAGGAATAAGAGGGTGAGGGAGTTTAAGGAGATGAAAAGAGGCGGAGCTATGTCGATGGAATGAACAGAGGGGTGATTGGTAGGGTTTTAAATTGATTTCCCTTATTTAAAAGGGGTATTAAATGTTGTCAATAATTACTAAAATTAAATAAGTAAAGATTACTATTATACCCCCAAAACAATTTATTAATTATTTTAATATTTCCTGAATTTTGATTGGTCCTAAGAGGCACACAATAATTATTAGAAACATTTGAACCTAACTATATATATATATATATATATATATATATATATATATATATATATATATATATATATATATATATAGTGATAATATGATTTTATTGTTAGATTCTAAAATTGTAACGAGAGAAAAAGAATGAATGAATGAAGGTAGGTGATGGGGGGGGGGGGGGGGGGGGGGGGGGGGGGGGGGGTTTAAATGCACACAATAGGTAGATTGATATTAAAAAATATTAGGTTAGAACCCGTTGGAACCACAATTACAAACTTAAACGAATTTTGATAGTTAAAAATATAAAAGATTATTGTAATCTTTTAAACAAAAAAAACGAATTTAAGAGGAGAAAATATGGATCAACGAATTAAAAAAATGGAATAGCAATCAATAGAAACTAATTTAACGAGTTATAATGTCACAAAATATGGCAATGGTCACAAAATATATAAACCCAAAAAAAATCAACAAGAAATTATAAGTACATTGTTATTACCGGTAAAAAGGGAAGTATAATGTCTATATTGGTAAACATGGTAAAGTACGTTATGATTTTCCTAATTTTCCCTTAAGTACACACATTATACTTTGATATATTTTCCAAAGTATGTTTGGTAATATTGGTAAAAATCAAAAGTATGTTGTTATATTGGGTCAAGAAACACAATATGCTACCATATTCGAAACAGATCACGGCCAAACTCATTAAGTCATTAATCCCATTAAGCCAATTACGTCAAACAAAGTATGTTGTATTAAGTCGAAAATAAACAACCATCAGTTCTCGTGATAGAAGTTAGGGGAAAGGATAGAAATGTCATTTCCATCCAGAAGACATTCTTGCCTCTTTTCATTAAGGTTTTGGTCCATGTTAGCATTCATAAATCGGGTAAATCAAAACCATGCCAACGAAAAAACCCAACCATTTTTTTTTTACCTTTTTAGCAATGTACTTACAAAGTACAAACTGTTATAACCAATCAATTTTACCTTTTAGAAAAAAAAAAACATCAAAACATCGTGTTGCTTAAATATACATAAAAGTATGTTGCCTTTTGCGCAAAATACCAACAATTTTGTAAAAAAAAAAAAAAAACATACTTTCACTTATAGCAATGTACTTTCAAAGTACAACACTTTAATAAGAACAAATTAAAATATAATTAAAAAGCAAATGAATTGAACTGAATAACTCTGAGTTAGCAAAAGAAAAACAAGAACATAGATACTGAAACTAAAAGAACATAAAGAAAACGAAAATTTTTGATGATTTAAAATTAATATGTCAATAAGTGTAAACAATCCAATCTCTAGCAAAAATACCTTACTAATCTGGAATAATAGATAATAATAAATTAATAATAAGTTTAATCTTAAATATAAAAAGTACTATTCTTTGCCTGTCAAATTGTTTTACTACTGATTAAAACGTATAAAAAAGATTTTTCATTCATCTCAAAAGAATGGAGGAAGAGGAAGCCAAAGGTGATGGAGGTTGAAGAAGAAGAAGACATGGGATTCCAAACTTCACTCAAAAGAATCACAAGTTTTCATTCATCACAGTCTAACAATATTCACAAACTTCACTCAAAAGAATCACAAATCCATATTTCAGGAAAGAAATAGCAAGCAACTTTCACTCTTTACTCACGACTGCCTATAATACAAATTACAAACCCTATTCTGTAAGTGTGAAAACAGTGTATGACAAGGATATTTTAGTAAATTCACAAGTCCAAATACAACGCTAGCATTTTTCGTCACCAAACCAGCTGCTTTTCTCTTTGGGCCCTGTAGGCCCATCTTCGCCATACAATTCATTTGGTAACTTATCGAATATATTTTGTGCTGAACACCGAAGAGTTTCAGGCAACCGATTCAAGATTCTAGTAACCTCAGCCCGCGAATCATGCACGGTTGTTGGGCCCCACTTTCTCATAAACTGTAACCAACACGGTTCATTAACAACCCCCTCTCCTAGATACTCCGCTGCCACAATCTCATAATCTTTACTCGAATCCAATGCATGATTACTCCGCGCAGCGGAATTCCTGATTCCAATCCGGAGATTCGCAGACCCTTGAAGAAACTCCCCTGGATGAGGGTAATTCGCGTGTCCGTTTCTTGACGAATAAACAATCGGTTTATTACCTTCTATGAACTCCAAACCGGAAGCATCCATCCACACACCCCCACTATGCTGCGAGAAATACACATTCCATAGTTCTCCCGTGAAGTTGCTTACACGAAGGGAAACATGTTCCCAATCCCCCACATGCTGTCCAACTCTTGTGAGAGGGTAATTCATGATTCCAATCTTTATACACCCCGGCCCGTTGAACGGGCAAAAAATCCACATCACAATATCCGTGAAACTCCCGCCTAAAGCGGGCTTTACATGAACGTAAACCTTCGCGCTTTTTAAATCCCCTTTCTTGATTTTCTTTGCGGTTTCATCTTTAGGCAAATCTATCCAATATTCACCATCGTTTCTCTCACCTTTAGGTAAACTTGAGCCCGACGGGTCGATCCATTCGCCTTTCGACCCGCCTTTTTTATGCAACAAAGCCTCTTTTTCAAAGAACCAAGATACAGAAGATGGAAGGTAGATCTCATCAGGGTGGAAGTAAATAGTTGGGCCATAATGGTTTATAAGGGCATGAATCTGGTCAAGATTTGGCATTGAGTTTATGTTATCGTTTAGATTCTTTAAGCAATGAATATTTAAGTCCTCTCCATGACTCCAAATACAACTACAGAAAAAGGTACCCACTGGAACACTTTTTTCATGCATTCCTCGATGACATGGTCTTGTTTTCCAGACTGTAAATAGTGAATCTGCTATTTTGGAGTGTTTGTTGAGTAGTATACAGTGAGGTTCGCATGTAGTTGTAAGATCCTCACGAACACATCGGATTTCATTCAAATCAGGCTTTGCGGGCTTATTTGTGACAATGAAACCCAAAGCTTTGTAACCCTCGGGAGCTATAGGTAACCAGAAGTAACCATGGCCATGGCTATGGCCATGGACATTATTGTCTTCTGTCCAGTCATCTGGACACCAAACTAACGTGTAATCTGTAGGCTGGACAAGGGCGGGCGATATAGTCTTTTTTACTTCACGGGCCACGAGTAGAAACCCTCGTAGAGGTTTTTCATCAGATTGACTATAGTGACCTAGGCAGAAGTATCCATCTGGTATATCAACAGGCTTAAAGAAGTTGACACCTTTTCTTCTATTCTTTATGTCGCTTCCCCATATGAACTCGAATTTGGTGATTTCACGAACTTCTAATTCTCCTAGATTGATGGATCCAGTAGCAAATCCATGACCTGGGAGAACAAATGTAAGATCATGAATTCATGCTTGAACACTACTGTAATGACCCAGAGTTATGGGAACACTAAGCAATTTGAAGGAAGAAGAACAAAGGTAAGAACATGATTTGTAAAACTCTAGCAGAAGTAATCGCCAAAAGATATGTTAAAGGGGGAGAGTACCGAATTCACTATAACCTGCACATCTGGTTCATGATCACAGTTAAATCTCAGCATATATGCACAAAGACACACATGAGTACACTATATGAATCACCTAATTCATTAATTAATCAAATTACAAAACCTTGAAACTCGATATGCAATAAGAGTAAGCTAAAAAAGGTTTGGAACGAGAAATTGCGAAATACCTGGAGGCCATTCGGGAATCGGGGAAGGGAGAGAGAAAGAATCGATATCGGGAACCGCCACATCGGTGACCCTGTTCCAATAAAAGCATCCACAGCCCGACATCTCTCTGTTTCTCTCCCCCAGCAAACAATTTAGATGATATGACGATTTGATCTGAGAAAGTTTTGGAACATTAATTTAGGTTAACATCATCTGTGTTGTTCTTTGGATATTTTATGCATACTTTAGATAAAGAACATCTGTCTTGCTGTTAAAGATTGAAAAGGATATTGGTTGATTGATGATGATGTCGGCGATAACGGGAAATATTACCGACAGGCAACGGAGTTGGCAACAGATTCAATTCGTAATTCTGCCCTTTAAATCCATTCCTTGACAATTTAATTTGTACAATTTTGATTAGGGTTTATTATTACAAAATCCGATTTTTATTTTGGGAAATTAAATAATCTAGCAACAATTTGAGTTTTAGTTAACAAAACTAATCATTTTTTTTAAAACTAACAATTTCCTCTAGAATGCCCATTCTAGACCAGCAAAAACGGTCCAAGTTCAATACTGTAGCCCAATGTTATATACATATGAGTCTCACATATAAAAATTCGGAATATACGTTCCGAATTTTGCAATTTCGAAGTTAGTTCGACCGTATTTCGAACCTAGTTTTCAACATGGATTTATCAAATCAAATGAGATATACTCTTTAAGTTACTTGCATTTGAGTTTACAAACAAGTATATGTATTCCGGAATGCGTAGAACACTTCGGAATACAATAAACGAGTCAAGAATATTCATTTTTTGTATGTTTTTTTGTTGTACATATATGAGACGCATGTAAGTATCTTATAGTGTGTTTAGGATCAGTTCTTCAGTCCGGAAGTATGTTTCCTAAGGAATCCGGAATGGTACTATAAGTCCGGAATACGAAGAACGTAGTCCGAACACGATAATCTATTCTGGAATGATGTTCCGAAATGACCATCCGGAATAAATATTCATTCACTTTTTTTTTGTTTGCTATTGTTTAATAACCTCTATTAGTCCAAAGACGGATTTGCATGAATGTTGTTAAAAAAGTGGGTTTTAAGGACGAAAAAGTTGTATTCCATTTACAAGAGCTTTCAAAATTGCGTCCGATAAAGGTAAAATTGAATTACAAAAATTTGTAATAAAATTTGTATTTTATTTTTGTGGTAATATATTAAAATGTTGTTGAAATTTTATTTTTGCATATAAAAAACCAATATGTTGAGTTAGAAAATAAAATAAAAATAAACCAGCAAAGGCACCTATAAAATTAGGAAAGAAATAAAAAAGGGTGTTAAAGTTTAAATTAAAAGCAGATAGAACTCTGAAAGATGAGACCGAAGCAAGTTCAGACAAACCTGTTATTACAGACTAGTTGAAAATATTTTTTTTTGTTATGGATATGTTTCAACAAGTTGGTTTTATTATTGGATACATTTATGCAAGTTGATTTTAATGCGTATGTTAATATATTTTATTTTTAGTCTCCAACATCTAGTGACTCGATCGATGAGGATGAGTTGCTAATAGAATATGATATACTACGTCTTGAAGACGAGCAACGAAATCTTGTTGATACGAGTGCATTAGAAATGATTTGTGATTATCAACATGTGAAACAACGAATGGTAATACTGGAAATCTCATTACCGCTTTTTGTGGCTAAGGAGCGGGGAAAACTAGCATTGTATAATATGCAAATGTAACGCCCGGTTCCTGATAAGTATTTTTTTAAAATGAAGAATTATCATTTTAACAAGGGGACTCGACGAGTTGAAGGATCAACTCGTCGAGTAGGATCGGGCGTGGGCGCGGGAGTTAAGTGACCTACTCGGCGAGTCGATAGACCGACTCGGGGAGTAGCAGCTGTCTGGATGAAACGCTAAATTTGAGGGTTTGCACCTTATTTAAACAACTTATCTCAGCCTCCATAGTCCCTATTACTCCCAGAAAGCATTATCTCGAAACCCTAGCCGTTATTAGTGTGTTTTTTAGCCTTGAGGTGTTACTTTGGGTGTTTGAAGCTTGAAAAGAAGGAGGAGGCTTGTGAGATCAAGGGGGGAATCAGGAAGATCAAGAGCTTTGGGCACATTTCCAGCTTATTGGAGGTATAAAGCTGAACCTTATCTATTCTTTGTGTAGATCTTGATTTTGGTCCATTTTCCCCCATTTTCTAAGCCCTAGTGAGGATGTATTCGGGATTTAGTGTAAGAAATGAGTTTGTGCTCCAGATCTAGGGCTATTGAGGGTTTTTATGGCATAAAGGTGCCCACCTTGTTGCCATAGACACCCCATGCACCTTGTAGACCACCTTTTATGGCTTTTTGAGCCAAGGACCCCATGCATGTGCATCAAGTTTGGAACTTTACGTGTAAAATGGACATTAGGAGGCCAGATCTATGGTTTTGATGTGTTAAGACCCATTTAAATCGACTGTATAGTAATGGTCAAGGATGGACTCGGCGAGTCGTTCTAAGGACTCGACGAGTCAAGGTGTAATGACCACCAAATCCTTTCTGTAGAGGGATCAGATGATAAGGTGGAAAGTCCCTTGGTTGTTTAGGCTCATAAAGGACCTGGGAATCATGGGACTCGACGAGTGGTTGAGCAAACTCGGCGAGTCTAAGGCAATCTCCCAATCTTTGAAGATGGACTCGACGAGTTGTTCATACAACTCAGCGAGTCATAGAATGGACACATTCTTATTAGGGAGATGAACTCGACGAGTTCAAGGATGAACTCGGCGAGTCGGATGAAGATGGTCCCGATGGTATGATTGAAGGAGAACCCGTCGAGTTCTTGCTAGACTCGACGAGTAGAGTCGGGGGTTGGTTCGAGTTAGAGGAGTATGGACTCGACGAGTTGGTAGACCAACTCGGCGAGTCAGGTCAACTGGATGTTGACTTTGACCAATGTTGACTTTGACTGAATTGAGTTGACCCTGGTTTGGGTTGCATGTTCGAATTGATAACTTATAAGGGTTGTCGTGTAGGGATTGAGGAGTTGAGGGGAGTCGACTTTCACGTCGAGGACATTTCAGACACTACACGACATCGAGGTGAGTTACCTTCCAGTAGAAGTGGGTCTAAGGCACCAAGGCCGGCCCACTGGTAATTGTTTAGTTGAGATGATTGTCTTTGTGATAATCATCTGGGTTGCTTGTGCCTGATATATGTGTATGCTAGTATGCTATGTTATGTGAGGTAGTATCAGTAGGAGGGGACTAGTCCCCGATTCGGTCTCTAGGACCAATGGGTAGGTCGGACACCCCATATATGTCTGACAACATGATTATGATATGATATTATATGCTAGCAGTAGGGGGTGAAATAGTCCCCGTATTCGGTTGAGATAGACCGGAGGGTAGGTCGGCACCCCAGAATAGCCTGACATGGGTAGGTCAGCACCCCATAATGGCTTGACATGGGTAGGTTAGCACCCCAGAATGGCTTGACATGGGTAGGTCGGGCACCCCAGAATTGCCCGGCAATATGTATGTGGTTTTGATATGTGGTATGATGGGGGAACTCACTAAGCTTTGTGCTTACAGTTTCAGTTTTGGTTTCAGGTACCTCTTCGTCCAAGGGGAAGCAGTCGGCAGTGTAGCAGCGCATCACACACACATGATTTCCGCATGGAGTTTCTGGGATTGTACTCTGATTTTCATAACCCTTGATATTGTGATTTTGAAACATGATGTTATGGTTTTTATAAGTTGATGTAACCTTGACAATGTTTTGGTACACTATTTCATGAGGTACTTAATTTAAAAATGAAATTTTTGGCCTTGAAAATTGGGATGTTACAAGTTGGTATCAGAGCCTTGGTTTGAGGGATTCGGACACACCCTCGGGGGTGTCTGAACTCAAACCGAGGGCTTGAAGGATTTTTACAAGGAAATAGTTTTTTCTAAAATCTAAATTAAAGAGTTTCGAGAAAGAATGAGGTGTGTAATGCGTGCGACCGGCCGAGCTCAAGTAAGTTTTCCCCAAGATACCCATACTTTTTATGTTATGTCATATGATATGATTATGAAAGCTGCATGCTAGATTAGGGCTAAGGATCTAGGAGGATGCCTTGTATGCCTGTTATGTGTTTATGATAACTACATGCTAGAATAGGGCTAAGGATCTAGGAAGGATGCCTTGTATGCCTGCTATAGGAGCTCATGGAGCCGTATGTTAGAGCTGTTAGTTAGCAGTGAGATAGCCTGATTAGGTTATGCTTGAATTGGTTACTCAATGCACGAATGATGCTTGCTTTGTGATATAGGGGTTCTGGCTAACTTTAACTAACTAGTAAGCGAATATGTAACAGTATTCGCAAGCTAGTTGGGGAAGGGTGGTAGGGACTCCTAACGCAGCTGATGGCGGAGAGTAGGTCGGAGGGTGCCCTAGGAAATCCTAGGATGAGATTAGTTGGAAAGGGATATTGGATAAGGGACTTGGTGAAGTTGAGGCAATCCTTGAGGAAAGTACGGATAGATGTGGAAGGTAGTATGGGCCCGTACTACTGAAAGCAGAGGATCCATAATCGAGTCAGGGAGAGCCGAGATGGAACCAGGAAACTTGGGGAGTGTGAGACCTCTCGGGAGTATGTATGATCCTGACGCTCACGTGTTTATTTTCAGTATGGTAGTCACACGACATGGAGCAGGAGGTTCAGGGTCTGGGTCAGGATCAGGCTCGGGTGCGGGATCCGAGCAGGTTGATGACGGGCTACGCGAGTTCATCACGTCAGAGATCACTAGAGGTATCCTTGAGTCGACCCCTATCATTTTCGGGTCGATCAAGGAGGGGATTATTGAGTTGATGGAGGATCGCCTCCAGGCGTTCAGGAGGGACTCGACGTCCAGCCAGTCGGGTACGCGCACACTGTCCTTCAAGGACTTCAGGGGGAGTGGTGCGCCGGACTTTCACGGGGTGAAGGACCCCATTGCTGCCAGGAGATGGATCGTAGACATTGAGTCTGCGCAGTTGACGAGCTTCTGCCCGGAGGGGTCGAAGGTCCGCTTTGCTGCGGGATGTTTGAGGGATAGAGCTAGAGATTGGTGGGAGTCAGTTGGTGACTCGTTGGGAGCCCCGGCCATCGAGGCTATGACTTGGTCAGATTTTGTGACCAGGTTCAGGGCTGAGTTTGCGTCAGCTGTGGAGCTTCAACAGCTGGCCAGAGAGTTTCTTGATATGAGACAGACGACCGAGACAGTGGCGGAGATCACCGCCAAGTTCAAGGAGAGGGCCTTGTTGGTACCTCAGTATGCGGGGGATGAGGAGATGCGGAAGACCCG